GCTTATGAGATAGTGGAGGCCTTATGTCTGATCTTCCAAAATTCCTTGGATTCTGGAACAGTCCCCATGGATTGGAAGATCGCAAATGTCACACCACTATTTAAAAAAGGTGGAAAGGAAAAGATGGGGAACTATAGGCCAGTTAGTCTCACATCAGTGATAGGAAAATTTTAGAATCATTGATTAAGGATGTGGTAGTGCGGTATTTAGGGCACAATATAATTAGGCCAAGTCAACATGGCTTTACAAAAGGGAAGTCATGTTTGACAAATCTCATAGAGTTTTTTGAGGATATTTCCAGTAAACTAGATAAGGGTGAATCAGTGGATGTGGTCTATTTGGACTTCCAGAAGGCATTCGATAAGGTGCCGCATAAAAGGTTAGTCCAAAAGATAAGGGCCCATGGAATTGGGGGAGCATATTAACGTGGATTGGGGAATGGTTAACGGGTAGGAAACAAAGAGTAGGGATAAACGGGTCCTTTTCAGATTGGCGGGATGTGACTAGTGGAGTGCCACAAGGATCAGTCCTTGGGCCTCAGCTATTTACCATCTACATCAACGATCTAGATGAGGACATCGAAGTTAATATATCTAAATTCGCGGATGACACAAAACTAGGAGGAAGTGTCAACACAGAGGACGACATTAAAAAAATGCAGCGAGACATAGATAGGTTAGGTGATTGGGCAGGTAGGTGGCAGATGAAGTATAATGTAGGGAAGTGCGAAGTCATCCACCTAGGTAGCAAAAACAGTAGAGCGGGTTATTTTTTAGAAGGGGAGAGATTGGAATGTGTTAGCGTCCAGAGGGACTTGGGTGTCCTTGTACACCAATCACAGAAAGTTAGTCTGCAGGTGCAGCAGCAATTAGGAAGGCGAACGGTATGTTAGCATTCATTATGAAAGGATTAGAGTATAAGAGTAGGGAAGTCTTGCTGCAACTGTATAGGGCCCTGGTGAGACCACACCTGGAATACTGTGTGCAGTTTTGGTCTCCTTATTTAAGGAAGGATGTACTTGCCTTGGAGGGGTGCAGCGTAGATTTACTAGGTTAGTACCAGGGATGAAGGGGATGAGTTACGAGGATAGGCTGACCAATTTGGGCCTATATTCTCTAGAATATAGAAGAATTAGAGGGGATCTTATAGAAACCTATAAGATCATCAAAGGGCATGATAGAGTAGATAGTGGGAGATTGTTTCCCCTGGTTGGAGAAACTAAAACCAGGGGTCACAACCTTAAAATCAGAGGCAGCCCTTTCGCACTGAGTTGAGGAAGAACTTCTTCACTCAAAGGGCAGTGAATGTATGGAACTCACTACCCCAAAGGGCTGTTGACGCTCAGTCCTTGAACATATTCAAGACTGAGAGAGATAGATTTCTTATTGCAAAAGGGATTAAGGGATATGGGGATAAGGCGGGGGGGAGGCTGGCTGGGGTGGGGGGTGGGGAATATGGGGGTAAGGCGGGGAGGAGGCTGGCTGGGGTGGGGAGGTGGGGGATATGGGGGTAAGGCGGGGGGGGGAGGCTGGCTGGGGTGGGGAGGTGGGGGATATGGGGGTAAGGCGGGGGGAGGCGGAGGCTGGCTGGGGTGGGGAGGTGGGGGATATGGGGGTAAGGCGGGGGGTAAGGCGGGGGTAAGGCGGGGGGAGGCTGGCTGGGGTGGGGAGGTGGGGGATATGGGGGTAAGGCGGGGGGGGAGGGGGAGGCTGGCTGGGGTGGGGAGGTGGGGGATATGGGGGTAAGGCGGGGGGGAGGGGGAGGGGGAGGCTGGCTGGGGTGGGGAGGTGGGGATATGGGGGTAAGGCGGGGGGGGGGGAGGCTGGCTGGGGTGGGGAGGTGGGGGATATGGGGGTAAGGCAGTGTTATTAGCTGGAGTTAGATTAGAAGATTGAATGGCGGTGCAGAGGCTCGAAGGGCCGAATGGCCAACTCCTGCTCCTACATGTTATGTTATGAGTCATATAGACTGGTCAACCATGAACAATGTTATTGCAGACAAACTAGCATTTCCAGCCCAGCCCCCTCACAGCCAGTTCACTCAAAACGATACCCCACCAAGGAAATATATAGTTTTAGACATATTATCAGTTTTTAAATCAATACCTAAAGGATAATGAGCTGAGTGACCCATTGTAATTTAAGACAAGAAACCATACTAAAACTGTAGAGGGGCATAAGAAACAATTTGCACCTGCTTATAACCATATATACCTGATGCACATTAAATCAGTGTTTTGCCCCTCTCCACGATTTTGGCAGAGTCTCTTGCTTACCTGCAGTGGGTTCTTTGTGCTGATTGCTAGGACCTGGTACTTAAAGTAACACAGCTCACAGCTCCATGAGCCTCGCTCGCTAATCCATCTGATTAGGCACGGCTGGTGTGTGCAACGTACAGAGCCAGAACACCGGCACGGGCTCAGCAGCTCACCCTGTAAAAAACACAACACAAACCAGACTAAGAAAAACATGTACTAAGCAACAAAGAATTGCCCCTTGATGCACTGGTTTTGATATTCAGACTTTGGAGTCAGACTTTGGTTGACAAATCATCCTGCATGCTCTTCCTCCCTCTCGGTTTGCATCCTCATTGCACTGAAATTAAGACTTAGTCGAAGTTATAGCAGGTTAATTTTTCATTTTCATTCAGAAATATGTTACGATATTGTGGCACTGAGCACTGCAAATATATTCCAGGTGACTTCTGAGGACCTTCTTCATATTATATGAATGCAGGAGTGACACGTCTACAAGTCCAGAGCCCAAAATTTTAAGGAAATGTTATTATCAATTTCATGGAACTCATGAGAACAAACTGAAATGCTGCAATACTAATTGTTTTTGCTAAAGGGAATATTATTATTTACGTAGCTCACTAAGGTCCTCTACTGACAGAAACTGAGAATGCCAGATGTACAACACTGGGTGAATCTTTTTAAAACTGCCTGAGATGCTGAATATTTTGGTACTGTCAGGCCCTAGATCATTATTCCCATCAAAATATTAAGATTTATGGTGCAATGACCTGGTGTTAAGGGGTTAATTTGCTCCTCCTAAATGATTAGCCAGCTCAGTTGTGGCACTGAAAGAGTCTGCTCACTGTTCCATGACATAATACTGTAGTATTGCTGTAAAGGCAAATCAATACAGAATCAGATCGCTTGCTCCCATTAACCCTTGTTGCATTTTCCCAATCCACACTCAAACCTGTAAATTTGGTGAAGCTGTATAATAATAATCCTTGCATTTGATATAGCGCCATATCACATCATTGAGACCGTCAAAGTGCTTCACAGAATGTACTGTAAAGTGAATTGACTGTAGCTCAGTGGTTAGAGCACTCGCCTTCACAAGCAAGAGACCTGGGTTCAATTCCCGGCAGGGTGAAACATTGGGCAAGTTTCCTTACTCCACACGTCTCTATTTACCCAGCAGTAAGTAGGAACCCGGTTATTAGTCGATTGGCAAATCGCCTTTCCAGGAGTAATAATTCCTTCAAAAAAAAATTGGTCACTCAATCCACGACTGTTTGTGGGACACTGCTTGTGCAATCGGCTGCCGCATTTCACCCACAAAATATATACAGTCAATTCACATTACAGTGTATTTTGTGAAGCGCTTTGAAACGTTCTCTTTGACCGAGCCTTCAGCTCCCCTCTCGACTCTCTACCCCCTCCTCGCTCCCTCCCTTCCCTCCCCTCACCCTGACCATTTCCCCCCTCCTCGCTCCCTCCCTTCCCTCCCCTCACCCTGACCATTTCCCCCCTCCTTGCTCCCTCCCTTCCCTCCCCTCACCCTGACCATTTCCCCAATGCTCAGGTCCTGACCCAACTGTACAGCGCCTTGGGACGTCCTCCCGACGTGAAAGGCGCTCAATAAATGGAATCTTGTTGTTGTTGTTGTCTCAATGATGTGATAAGGCGCTATATCAAATGCAAGGATTATTATTTTATTAAGTCTGATAGCCACCTTCATTGGTATGTAGAGAGATAAGTTGCAGGAGGATAATGGCAATGCTAGGTTGTGTTTCTAACTAGGAAGCTTGCATGTCTGCTATCCACCTTGTGAAGGCTCAAACCTATGCTTGTCGGAAGTCAATGACCTCCAACAAGCATAGGTTTGAGCCTACTGAGAGCAGCAACTCTGCTCTTCAGGAGCGGGGTAGGGTAGTACATGGGGTCTCCTTGGGGCTGAGCTGGCTCTAAGCTAATGTGTTTGGCAATAGAGTGTCGGAATTGAATCAACTCTCTGTTGGCAACAGTCTGAATTATAACAAGTCCCAGCACCTCGCGACGTCCTCCTGACGTGAAAGGGGCTTTACAAATGTATTTTTGTTTTCCAAGTATGCTATGAGGAGGTCGTGGTTGTAAGGATCCTGAGTCAGTGCATTGGAGTAGTACTCCACTACTGATGATAACCAGTCAGCCTGGATCATCAGCAGGATTTGGAGGGGCAGACTGCTTTCTGGGGGCAGGAATTTTTGCCATTCAACTCCTGATAACTCTATGCCGAACAGATAAAATAGACCTAGACCTAAAGTGCAAGCTTGCCAGACAGTGCTTTCAATGACAACCTCTGCACTTTTAGCCGGTTAAACTCCAGCAATACCTCAAAGCAAACCTTGGCTCTTGGCAAGTTGTACCTTTACAGAATGAAATAAACAGGGTGTGGTGTGTCCCTCTCCGGAGAGATTACACATTCCATGCAGAATGGAATTCCACATTCCACATTTCACACAAAGGGAATTTTCTCTACATAGGTGGCTTGCACTTAGTCTGACCAAAACAAATCATCCTACGTGCTCTCCCTCCCTCCCCGCACTCTCATTAAATTTAAATTAAGACTCATCATTCTAAGTTATAACAGTTCAATTTTGTATTCAAAAATGTGTTGCAATATAGTGGCCAATCTGAATTATTGGCTAACTAAGTTGTACTGTGAGTGAAATCCTGTTACTGTCCCTTTGAACAAAATGACTTCTACTTCTATTCCACTGATAAGGAAAGAAATCATCTGAGGTCGTTCCATGATTGATGCAGAACATCTCAACCAGCAGAAAGCATTATTGCAGAGAAGCTCACTAAACAGACCGGGTCAAACATACATTAAGATTCACATGACCTGTGCTCATTCAGGTAAGATATTGTTTTCCCTCTCATGGCGAATGTTCCTGCTTGTTACTTTGGTTGATTTTACAAGTTTACAGATTTTCAGCTGAAATGTTCTTGATGTTGCTGTGATTTTCAGAATTGGTTGGCATTTTTTAATGGAGCTGAATTACTTTTTGGTTTGATTGCCATAAGAAGTTTAATTCCCATCTTATTCCCAGTGCATAAGAAAGCTAGTTGGCAAAATGGCTTCAATCCAGTTGTAATTATCACTGAGTGTCACTGCAAGAAGCCATTAGGATGCCCACTGTACATGATGGCATGACACACAAATGGTTCAAAGGTGGGACTTATAGTATTCTCTCATCTACTTAAATAAAACCAAAACATTGGCCATTGTGTGGTTCATGAATAATATTTTAACTGCTACATGGAGCTGCACTCCAGATAATATCTCCCTCCCTGGTACATAAGTGCAGCAATCAATGAGAATTAGCCAGTAAAGCTGGGAGACGATCAACAAGGACCAAAACAGAGAGAAAGGAAATGTTGGAAAAGATTTAAAAAGACAGGAAAAAAATTGTGATTCATAGAGCACATCTGGAGCACCATGAGGAAATAATTTTAAAATAAACTGTAAATGTCTAGCCTCAGAACTGAAAATTAGCATTTAAATGCAGACAGAAGCACTGGACGGACTTACTCTGACGCAATTTGATGTTAATCCTTCCTTCTTTAATGAATATGTAAAATCTTTACTGTTGGAATACGTTTTCAGGCTTCAGATCACTGCTTCATTATTATTGTGGGTCTGGGTGCTCAGGGATTTTGTTAATTTCAGTTTCCTCTTTTTCTCAAAGTGAAGCTGTTTTGGATACTCATCTGTAATCGATTTAAGTCAACATCCTGGGGGTGCTCCATGAAATGACTTGCAACAAAAAAAATTCTGTGACATTTTAGCCTGACTTTGTGTCTGGGATCTCAGAGCTAGTGCAGTTTATAATAATAATAATAATAATCCTTGCATTTGATATAGCGCTTTTCACGACGGGAGGACATCCCAAAGCGCTTCACAGAACACATTGTAAAGTGAATTGACTGTATATTTGTGGGCGAACGCGACAGCCAATTGCGCACAGCAATGTCCCTCAGACAGTCGTAGATTGAAAATGACCAATTTATTATTGTTTTTGGTTTTGGAGGGATTATTATTAGGCTCTGTGTGGAGTAAGGAAACTTGCCCGAGGTTTCGCCCTCTGCCTGGAATTGAACTCAGGTCTCTCACTTGCAAAGCGAGTGCTCTAACCACTGAGCTACAGGACTCCACAAGTTTAGCAGACATTCCAACCACCTTCTGTAAAGAATCTAACTTCTGTTTAATTCCTTTTGGAATTATCTAACATTATGATCTCTCAATACTGACTCACTGACCAGTGGAAGTAATCTATTGTATTTACCGTGTGTATATGGCCCTTCATGGTCATTGCTTGATATTCTCAGCTTCCGTGCAAAAGGCCCTATTTTTTCAAGTCTCTTATCACAATTGAAACCCCTGGTACCATCTTAATGAATCTAGGCTGCACATTTTCCAATACCTTTATATTCTTCTTGTACCGGGTACGTATTACAGTATATCAAATCTGCCCTAATCAAGTTCTTCTTGCATTGTTTTGGATGTTTTCTTGAGGATACAGAGATGTAAACAGGGATATATACTGTGTCAATATGTTGAATAATTCCCCAGTCCAGCTCAAAGGGCTTAGGAGCAGGGGATGCACCAAGATTGCTCTCTCTTAATATCCTGCAGAGAATAACAAAAACAGCAGGACAACAGCAGGGGTCATATGCACTGGAAAGAGAAAATTATCAGAAAGACATGGGGGGAGAGGGAAGGATTTTCTCCTTTAGCTTTGGACATGACTGACTGAACCTTCCTGTTGCTATAGTGAAGGTCTGCAGGATGTTAGTAGCAGAGAAACTAAGCCCAGTGCTCATATCCCTGATGCTAACCTAACTGACAAATCCTCTTTTAACTTCTCACCAGTCAGATGACATGTGCCACCTATTTTACTCCCTACATGCAGTATTTTACATTTATCTGTATTGAACTTCATTTGCCAGTGATCAGCCCCTTTGTAAGATTATGCCTTCCTCTCCTGATTCCACAGTTTTCCCTAGCTTGCTATCAACTGGACATTTGACGACCTGAGTTTGTGAATGTGGGTCATTTATGTATTCTACAGTATTCCCAGCATGGACTCACAAAATATCTCCCTGGATCCAGCCTAGTCCCCAGACGATATATTAAGTGGTGTGTTATATAGGAGGCATTATTTATAGAAGGTTTCTTCATTGGCGAGAGTCAAAACCACTGTGTTATATAGTTACCCATAAAATAAGGTGAGAGACTTGTTCAATCTCATTCCCGTTTTTTAACTTGCATTGAATTAATGCAGTAAATTTTTAGTGGCGAAAATTTAAGGGGACATGTGTTTTGCTGTTTCAATGCTGTAAAGATTCTAGCTGCAATACACTATAGTATACGGTGCAGAAGCTGAACCTCTATTTCTGCATTATACAAGCATGTCAGTGCTCAAATGATTCATTACCCCAACATCCAGTATTGCTAACAGCAGCAACAGCTTTCCTTAGCTCACCTATCTATTTGTTCTTATCGTTGTTGAAGCTCAATCAATAAAGTCATCTCTAAAGAGAATTGAACTGGTTAAAAAAGTTGTTCTGTTGCTGGTTAGAATTTTCCACCCGTAACTCTCTGAATGAAGAACTGGGTTGTGATTGTAACACAGTGCTTGTATGTCAGAAGGAATGCCATCATCACATTCAATGTGTTAATCCGTTGCCTTAATGGGTGGGGAGGTGATGACAGCAGTTTTCAGGGGGAGTGGAACAGAGCCTGAGGAGAGACCGGTTGACCGTGTTGGCCAGCGGAGGGGAGTCTCATTGCCAAAAAGCCAATACATGCATCAGTCACACGCTGTAATCTCCAACTAAACTGCCAATAGGCGAAGTGGTAAGTTACCATCATCAAACACAAAGGGAAATAGGTAGCACAGAAGGCGAGGGAGGCAGTCATCTTTTTAACCAGGGGGTCGGCTGTTCTTAGCCAAGAAGCTGAGCTGATATTTGTGGAATAAAAACAGAAGTCGCTGGGAACACGCAGCAGGTCAGGCAGCATCTATGGAGAGAGGAAAGTGAGTTAACGTTTCAGGTCGGAGACGAAAGGTCATCGACCTGAAACATTAACTCACTTACACCAAGTGTAAAGAGGTCGTAGACTTCTTCGCTTCAAAGATTGAAAACATCTGCTTGGCTGCATCGTCCTCCCCGCTATTTCCCCTTCCACCCCACCCAGACCATCCACACTGCCTTTCCCTCTGCCACGGCTCCTACCACTCCCCACTCCTTTGCCCCCATCTCTCCCTCCTCCCTCTCGACCACAATTACCCAGATGAAGTTCACCACCTGCTGCCTCGACCCCCTCCCCATCCAGCTGCTGGTCACTCAACTCCCCTTTCTCTCCCCCCCGCTGGCTGACATGGTCAACCAGTCTCTCCTCGGGCTCTGTTCCACTCCCCCTGAAAACTGATAATAATAATAATAATCCTTGCATTTGATATAGCGCTTTTCACGTTGGGAGGACGTCCCAAAGCGCTTCACAGAACACACTGTAAAGTGAATTGACTGTAAATTTGTGGGCGAACGCGGCAGCCAATCGCGCACAGCAATGTCCCACAAACAGTCGTAGATTGAAAATGCCAATTTTATTATTGTTTTTGGTTTTGGAGGGATTATTATTAGGCTCTGTGTGGAGTAAGGAAACTTGCCCGAGGTTTCGCCCTCTGCCTGGAAATGAACTCAGGTCTCTCACTTGCAAAGCGAGTGCTCTAACCACTGAGCTACAGGACTCCACAATGTCATCACCCCCTCCTCAAACCCTACCCTCAAACCCTCTAATCTCTCACATGACCATCCCATCTCCAACCTTGCCCTTCCTTGACAAAGTCCTGGAATGCAATCTTGCAGGTCAACTTCGGTCACACCTCCCCCTCCACTCCCTCCTCGAGCCGCTGCAGTCTGGTTTTCGCCCCGACTGCCCACAGCACAGAGACAGCGCTTGTCAAAGTCACAAACAACGTCCTCTCTATCTGTGACCAGGGCTCCCACTGCCTCCTCGTCCTCTTGGATCTCTCTGCAGCGTTCGACACAGTCGACCAAGTCATCCTCCTCCACCACCTCTCCTCCTCATCTACTTTAGTGGGATTGCACTCACATGGTTCGAGTCCAACTTAATCAACTGCCTCTATTACACTTCAGCAAATGGTTTCTCCTCCCGCCCCCGCCCGGTCACATCCGGGGTACCCCTGCGCTCCATCCTTGGCCTCTTCTTTTCCTTATCTCTATGCTCCCTCTGGGCCATGTCATTGGTAGACATGGGGTAAACTTCCACGTTTGCGGATGACACACAAATCTACTTTACCTCCAGCACCAACTGCAGGTCCTGATGTTCTATCAGCTTGTCTGGCAGACATCAGGGTCTTGAAGAGTGTCTTCCTGCAGCTGAATATGGACAAGTTGGAACCCATACTCCTTGACTCCCGTCAACATCTTCAGTCCTGCGAATCTAAACTCCTCAACCTCCCTGGGCTCTCCCTCACGCTCACCGAACCAGTGCGCAACCGAGGCGTGCTGTTTGAACCCCAGCTGTTCTTCCTCCCCACGTAGGGTCCTTGACCAGGAACCACCTTTTTCCACCTACGCCACATTTCCTGCCTCCGACCTTACTTTACCCCAAATGCAGCCGAAACCCTCGTGTGTGTGTTTGTCACCTCCCGCCTGGATTCCTCCAACCCCCTCCTCGCCGGTCTCCCCAGCGCCACCATTCACAAGATCAGCTCATTCAGACTCTGCCGCCCACATACTGACCCCAACAAACTCCACACCCACATCTCCCCAGCTCTGGCCCTGACTCCCCTGGCTCCCCATCAGCCAACACATCCACTTCAAGA